GGGTACTGTGAGGGCATATACATCAGAAGGATGTATAAATTGCTTACTTGTTCTACTGGCGTTCACCAGAAGCAGTGAGTTGCTAAGACAGGCTTGGAAATAATATGGCAGTAATACAGTACTGTGCAAAAGTCTTAGGCCACCATTAGATTTGTTGTTTTAGCAATGTTATGATGATTATATACACATATATTTATGAGAACAAGTAGGAAATTTAAAAAAACAATGTCATAAAAAAAACTCATTAAATTGGATGTGGTATTCAAGCGGTTCTAATGAAATATGAATAATTCCGGAGAAGTCAAGGACAAAAATCAGAGTGAAGACCAAGAAAACTGTCAATGTCTGATGAGAAGTTTCTCAAGAGTTTCTTCCCTGAGAGATCAGAGAAAATCCAGCAAGGACCTGGTTCAGCATCTGGCGTCATCATCTGGATGCCAAGTTGATCCTTCCACAGTCTGATCAAGAAGCTTGATCAGGGACAGCCTTTGTGGAAGGACGGGAGCCAAGAAACAACTTTTTCAGGAGGAGGACAGGGAGATTGGAGTGAAGATCAGTGGAAAAGAGTATTATGGAGATATGAATAGAGGTTTGACATTTTCAGGTCCTATCATCGACAGCATGTGAGAAAAAGAGTTGGTGAATGGTGGAAGAATGAGTGCTTGCAGCTTTCAGTGAAACATGGTGGAGGGTCTGTCGTGGGTTCAAGATAGTCTCACCAAAACAATTTCCAAGCTGTGTTAAGTGCAAAGGGAGGTGACACTAAATACTGACTACTGAATACTGTGGAAGCTACTTTGTTCTGAAAATGTGTTTTTTTTTTTTGTTGTTTTTTTTTATATTGTGTACATATTTCCTGTACTTTCTGCTTGCATCTTAATTTATTTCTGTCTCTTTATTATTACAATATTGCTAAAAATAAAACTAATACTAGCCTAAAACTTTTGCACAGTACTATGCGTCTACATATTTAAACTATGAAAGAAAACCTTAAAACAACAGTATTATGCAAGTATACCAAATGTATAATTATGTGCAGTGGGTGAAAACAAAAAGAGAAACATGAAACACACAGAAGCTCACACAGACAAAAAGAATGTAAATAATTTAGAAATGGTTTTACCTGTTAGAATTGATTGGTCTACCCTCAGTGTGGTTGACTTGATAGAACACAGTCTGATGTCTGCCGGCACTTTATCACCAACTGTGTACAGAAACAGCAAACCAGAGTGGAAACTCAGGTACCTACTCACAACTTAAAAGTAGCTGTAACTGGGCATAGGTGGAATGATACTTTGTGTAACCAGACTTATCTTTGTAAATCTACACAGTTCACAAAGCAATAAAAGCAGAGTGTAAATGTACCCCATGTAAAAAGGCACCTCTAAAATTAGAGCATTGTATAATGAAGTGGGTTTTTTTTTTTTTTCCTGAAAATGTTTTCACACAAAAACCACCACACAGACACTAAAGCCTTGGCAATAAAATCATTTGTTATCCCAACTCATGGGCTATGGGAATAATAAAATAATCAAACTTAAGTTATTTGTTGGAGAAAGGCTAAGAGAGAGTCATGCTTTAAAAGATTAATGTTCCACTCAATTCCTGCCCAGGACACAAAGAGTGCTGTTCATTCTTTCCACTAAGGCAAGGCCTTTGCAATTCCCAGTAAAACAAATGTAAATATACACAGAATTCTAATGAACTACTTCCTTCACAGAAAACTGATAAGTATCATTAAAACTACTGACATTTATTAGCTTTGCTTAAAAGGGTATCACACACAGTTTGGCTTCTTTGTTTGGTTTTACAAGCAGTTTGGGTCTGATCTCTGGAGATTAAAAGTACTGATAATGAACCTTTCAGCTTTGTGATCTAAATGAAGTTAAAAACAAAATATTTAATAGTCAAGGGAGCTTTGCATTGCAAAGCACTATGGGATGAGACTGGATATGCAAACACGCAATACATAATCTCTAAAGAAATTGTTTAACTGAAGAAGAATTAAAAACATTGTTTTTAAGTTAGTCTAAAAATACATTAAGTCTTGTATTGATTACATTCCCCGTGTAGTACTGTACTATTAGTCTGTGAGACTATGAGCCATTCTAAAGCACAATGAAAAATGCCACTGTTGCACCAAATTGAAATATTACTTTCAGCTTACAGTAGGATGCCTCAGGGTTTGAAAGGGTGAAGGGAAAAGCAATGTAAAGCAATGGCCCAGAGGCTCTTCAGAGATCCTTCTGTGCACAGTGGAGAGTGGTGACAGACATGTACACAAACCCTTGGGCCTCTGCAGTGCCCTTCTGAGTAGAGAAAGGGGGGGGAGTGAATGTGAAGAAGGATTAGATGAGCTCTGAAAACACACGTCCAAAAATGGATAAACTATTTTGATCAGTTGAAAACGTGTGCTGCTGGATTTGGCTGAGGGGGAATGATTAACAAAAACTCCTGTTTTAAGCAAGGAGAATCTGCTCAACGTCATGTGAATTGAAAGAGAAACAGTATGACATGCCCTAGTGTGTAGACATTGCCACCATTCTCAGAAGTTTGACCGTTTTGAACAGTTAATTAAGAGACTGAAAGGGAGGACATTCTACACAAGAACCACAGTGAGTAACCAATAACACCAACTCCTCAACCCTAGTTTCAGTTTATAAATCTCTTATTACTGTAAGACGTGTAACGGTGAGTTCATCAGGAGTCAAATTGCTTCTGAACAAACCAGCTTTACAACCAAATTTGGTCCTCCAGATGACTAGAGGCTGTCAAAACCACTTCCATATCACCTGCCTGCCTTCAAAATAGAACCAACATTAACAGGCAGGAGATAGTGATGAAGATAAATGAGCATAGCAATGGGGGGGGGGGGGGGATCTCAAAGCCCTGGGGGAAGGTTACTCCAAACAGCCACTAATTTGAAAACCTCCTACCCCGAAGTATTTACCATCCATTGGCGTATACTGAGAATACAGTGAGGTCACCTACAAGAGAGAGAGAAAAAAAAAAAAAAAAAAAAACACACTTTAACAGGTTGAGACAAAAAAAGCCACATCTGATACATTCCATAAATAAAAAAAAAAACCTCTTAAAATGGACTGGAGAGCATTACTGACACCTTTTCAAAATCGCCAGGAATAGTATTTCAAGCACGTGATGTTCCTTTAATTTGTAATGAAACTCACCTGTAGCAGTCAACAGCTGCTGGCAACATAGAAAACACATTTGCAGTCAGTTAAAATGGAGAAAAATTGACAACCTTTGTTTCGTGTGGACCACACTGAGCATGGAGAAAAGAAAGAAGAGCAGAGAATTGGCTGAGGATTTGAGAACCACAATAGTGGAAAAGCCTGGACAATCTCAAGGCTACAAGTCCATCTCCAGAGATCTGGCTGTTCCTGTGTCCACTGTGCACAACACTTTCAAGAGGTTTACAGCACATGGCGCTGTAGCTAATCTCCCTGGATGCAGACGAATGAGAAAAATAGATGACTGATTGCAACGAAGGATTGTTTAAATAGTGGATAAAGAACCTTGATCAACTTCCAAACAAATTCATCTGAATGATGTGGGACACTATGGGAGGAGGCCCAGGGGGACTGCACAGCTGACAAAAAAAAAAAAAAACATGAAAAAGCCATATTGGAGTTTTCCAAAGCTTGAGGAAGCCACAATCCTTCTGGGAGAATGTCCTGTGGACAGATAAGATTCAAATAGAACTTTTTGGTTGAGCACATCATTCTACTGTTTTCAGAAAACAAAATGAGAACTTGAAAGAAAAAAAACACAATCCCTGGAGTCAAATGGTGGAGGTTGCTTTGCTGATTCAGGCACTGGATGTCTTGACTGTGTATGGTATTATGAAATCTGAAGACTACCAATTAATTCTGGGGTGCAATGTGTCAGAAAGTTGGGTCTCTGTCAGATGTCATGGGTCTTACAGCAGGACCATGACCCAAATCATACTTGAAAAAGCACCAAGAAATGGTTTCAGACAATGTGCTGGAGAGTTCTGAAGTGGCCAGCAATGAGTCCAGATCTAAATTCCATAGAGCACCTGTGGAGAGATCTCAAAACAGCAGTTGGGAGGAGTCCTTCAAATCTGAGACCTGGAGCAGTTGGCAAAAGAACAGTGGTCCAAAATTCCAGTAGAGGTGGAAGAAACTCACTGATTGTTACAGGAAGGGATTGATTTCAGTTATGTTTTCCAAAAGGTGTGCTACCAAACATCAAGTTACATATTAAATACAACCACTTCTGATGATTTTGAAAAGGTGTCAATAATTCTGTCCAGTCCATTTTTGGAGTTCTGTGTGAATTTGGCTTTTTTCCCCTCTGCTTTTGTGTGTGTGTTCCAATGCAAAAAAAAAGAAAAAAAAAAAGAACACGAGAATACCAAAGAATTCGTGATTGCAGCAATTTGCCAATATTTTTCGCCATCACTGTAGGTACTGTATGTTAAACCTCAATTTCACAATATTGTGTTCATTGCCATAATAAGTTCACTTCTCAGACTAACAAACCTATTAAATTTCAAAGAACAAATCATATATGGGCCAAGAATACTTAGACAAGAATAAGATGAAAGCTATCAATTCCTCTGAAGTTTTAGTTTATTATTGTTCTTACAAGTCATCTTAGACACACACACACACACACACACACACACACACACACACACGTTATTTTGCAATTATCTACACCAACTTGCTGCAGTGACCCAACATTTGCAGCTGTTTCAACTTAAGAGTGACATTTTCTTTCATCTCACAGAACATGCTCTTTT